TTTTCTGATGAAGGGTCTAGGCCCGAAACGTCAGCCGTCCTGCTCCTATGATGCTGCTTGGCCTGCTGTGTTCATCCAGCTCTACACCTTGTTATCTCAGATTTTCCAGCATCATACTATCTCTGATACAAGCTAGAAGTTTTCCACTTGACGTATTTGATCAAGGTGCTCCACAAGCTTCCATGGCATGCACCAGAACTATTTAAAGCAGTGATGACAATATGCAAACTAATATTTTACATGTTGTGAACATTTTTTATGATATTAGATCACCATGACCTACGGCAGAAATAAAGTCTTTAATCCACACCTTGTGTTAAAAGACAGGAAAGGTCCTTTATCTGTACTAGATAAAGGGATTATTCAGTATTTACAGGTTTGATGCTGATTTGTCATTTCAGGCGGGTCAGTTGACATCTGGGGACCCTGTTATGTGACTGAAAGCTGATTTTGACTACTCAGGAGATCATTTGTATAAGTTGCAAACATTAAATTTGCACAGTTGGTGACAATAATGCAGTCAAAGTAAAATAAGCTTTATTCTGCATCTCATATAATATATTTGACTTAGGAATTCTTGAAACTGAAGCTGTTTCCTGTCTTCACCTACATATAGCTACTTTTACAAGGAGACCAGCTGTCACCGTATAATGGTTTCCAAAAGTTACAAAATGTATTCTCTCTGCACCAGTGTCAACGCTAATCTTGATGAACTGTATATTCATCCCTAAATCCCTTAAAATTGGATATATAAGAAAACATTTTTAGTCAATAGAATGAAATTTTGCAATCTATGTTAAGATTTTATACTAGGAATTAACTCCACATCAATACTCACTTACAGGGAAATCAATTGATCTCTTCATCAACAGCTCTCTATCCATCCCAGGATAGCTAGGCGTCAGCTTGCGACCAGGATAAAGAAACTCCCTGGTATTCTGCTCATAGATAGCCAGTGTTTCACCCACTGCAAAGAAATATTTTGAAGACATCAGGTGTTGAAGCTCAAATCCCCATTTCAGCACCACAAAAATAATAAAATGGCACTACTAACACACAGTGCCTGACTCAGACAGAATTTATAGAGTCGTAGAGTCATACAGCATGGAAACAGACCCTTTGGTTTAACTTGTCCATGCCAAACAAGTTTCCCAAACTAAACTAGTCCCATTTGCCTGAGTTTGGCTCATATCTTTCCTATTTGTGTAGCTATCCAAATATCTTTTAAGGGTTGTGACTGTACCTGCATCTACCTCTTCCTCTGGCAGTTTATTCCACATATGAACCACCTTCTGTGAAAAAGTTGACCCTCAGGTCCCTTCTAAATCTTTCTTCTCTCTCCTTAAAAATAAGCCTCCTAGTAATGAATCCCCCAACATAGGGAAAAGACCTTTGCTGTTCAGCTATATATGCCCCTCATGATTTTATAAACCTCGCTAAGATCACCCCTCAATCTCCTACGCTTTGCTGAAAAAAGTCCCAGCTTACCAGACTTTCCTGATAACTTAAACCTTCTTATCCTGGCAACTTCCTGGTAAATCTTTTCTGAACTCTTTACAATTTAATAATATCCTTCCTATAACAGGGTGCCCAGAACTATCCACAGTACTCCAAAAGTGGCCTCACAAATGTCCTGTACGACCTCAACATGAAGTCCCAACTCCTATACTCAATGATCTGAGCAATGAAGGCAAGTGTGCTAAACACCTTCTTAACTACCCTGTCTACCTGTGACGCAACTTTCAAAGAACTATGAACCTGAACTCATAGGTCTCTCTGCCCTACCATTAACTATATAAGTCCTGCCTTTGTTCACTTTACCAAAATGCAATTACCTTGCATTTACCCAAATTAAACTCCATCTGCCACTCCTCAGCCATTAGCCCAATTGATCAAGATCCCTCTGTAATCTTCTTCACTGTCCACTATACCACCAATTTTTGTGTCATTTACAAACTTACTAACCATTCCTTCTAAATTCTCATTTAAATCATTGATATAAATGACAAACCACAGTGGACCCAGCATCAATCTCTGTGGAACACCGCTGGTCATAGGCCTCCAGTCTGAAATCTGAAAAACAACTTTGCACCACCACCCTCTGTCTCCTACTGTCAAGCCAATTTTGTATCCAATTGACAAACTCTCCCTGAATCCCATGTGATCTAATTTTACTTATCCGTCTACCACGCGGAACCTCATCAAAGCCCACATAGACAACGCCTACTGATCTGCCCTCATCAATTTTTCGGCTGCGCCCTCAAAAAACTCAATGAAGTTTATGGTACATGATTTCCCACATACAAAGCTAGGCTGACTACTCCTAATCAGTCCTTGCCTTTCCAAATTCATGTAAATCCTATCTCTCAGAATTCCCTTCAACAACTTACCTACCACTGATGTGAGACTCACTGGATTATAGTACCCAGGCTTCTCTTACAGCCTTTCTTAATTAAAGATACAACTTTAGCTACCCTCCAATCCTCCGGCACCTTACCCGTAGCTATAGATGATACAAATATTTTTGCTAGGGGTCCGGCAATTCCTTTCCTAATTTCCCACAATGTCCTAGGATACACTTGATCAGGTCCCGGAGATTCATCTACCTTTATATTTTTTGAGACCTCCAGCACTTCCTCTTCTGTAATGTGGACTGTTTTCAAGACATCAATATTTATATCCCCAAGTTACCTGGCCTCCATGATTTTCTTCATAGTAAAACTGAATTTCTAGGATCAGACAAAAGTGTTGGCAGATAACCACACCAGTATTGGTATGGTTAGGGTGCCAAATAGATGGGGAACTGGGACATTCAATGGTAAACATTTATTTAGGGACACAACCAGCTGTTGTAGTTTAAGGTAGCAAGATCCCACCAGCAAATTAATGAATTACTAGATAATCTGTTTTTTTGTGATGACTGTACAACTGTAACAGAAATTTTAGCCACTGCCCTGGAAGAAATCCTGGCTGTTCAGCTGTTCCCAAGGGTTTTTAACATTCAATTTAAGCTGATAAGTTGTTTTTTGGTTTGCAAGACCATATCTAAAGCAATGCAGCATTCATCTAATAATTTCTTAGGAATCAGACTGGATTGTGCATTCACCAATTGTGGGGTTTAAAGCAAAACTCTGTCTCAGAGGCAACATTAACAGAAATAAGTGATATATTTAACTGTGAAAATTATTTAAGAGTTAAATTTTACATACTTGAATTCCAGTATTTAACTGTTCAAAACATACTACATGAACCTTTGATGTACCAAGGTGTAGAGCTGGATGAACACAGCAGGCCAAGCAGCATCAGAGGAGCATCCATAGCAAGCAGCATCCGTACCGACACTGGCCCTAAACCCCACCTCTTCCTCCGTTACGTTGATGACTGTATCGGCGCTGCCTCGTGCTCCCACGAGGAGCTCGAACAGTTCATCCACTTCACCAACACCTTCCACCCCAACCTTAAGTTCACCTGGACCATCTCTAATACCTCCCTCTCCTTCCCGGACCTCTCTGTTTCCATATCCAACCGATATCCATTTCAAGCCCACCGACTCCCACAGCTACCTAGAATACACCTCCTCCCATCCACCTTCCTGCAAAAATGCCATCCCCTATTCCCAACTCCTTCGCCTCTGCCGCATCTGCTCCCAGGATGAGGCATTCCACTCCTGAACATCTCAGATGTCCTCGTTTTTCAAGGACCGCAACTTCCCCCCCACAGTGGTCGAGAACGCCCCTGACCATGTCTACCGCATTTCCCGCAACTCATCCCTCACACCCCGTCCCCGCAATAACAACCAAAACAGTATCCCCCTCGTCTTCACGAACCACCCCACCAACCTCCAGATCCAACGCATCATCCTCCGACGCTTCCACCATCTGCAATCTGACCCCACCACCAAAGACATTTTTCTCTCCCCACCCTTATCCGCTTTCCGGAGGGACCACTCTCTCTGTGATTCCCTTCTCCTCTCCACACTCCCCGCCAGCCCCACCACACCCAGCACTTTTCCCTGCAACCGCAGGAAGTGCTACACCTGCCCCTACACCTTCCCCCTCACCCCCATCCTAGGCCCCAAGAAGACTTTCCACATCAAGCAGATGTTCACCTGCACATCTGCAAATGTGGTATACTGCATCCGCTGTTCCCGTTGTGGCCTCCTCTACATCGGGGAAACCAAGCGGAGGCTTGGGGACTGCTTTGCAGAACACCTACGCTCGGTTCGCACTAAACAACTGCACCTCCCAGTCGCGAACCATTTCAACTCCCCCTCCCATTCCTCAGACGACATGTCCATCCTGGGCCTCCTGCAGTGCCACAACGATGCTACCCGAAGGTTGCAGGAACAGTAACTCATATTCCGCTTGGGAACCCTGGAGCCCAATTGTATCAATGTGGACTTCACAAGCTTCAAAATCTCCCCTCCCCCTACCGCATCCTAAAACCAGTCCAGCTCGTCCCCGCATCCCTAACCTGTCATTCCTCCCACCTATCCCCTCCTCCCACCTCAATTTCCACCCCCATCTCCTACCTACTAATCTCATCCCGCCCTCTTGACTTGTCCGTCCTCCCTGGACTGACCTATCTCCTCCCTAACTCCCCACCTACACTCACCTCTACTGGCTCCATCCCTGCCTCTTTGACCTGCCTGTCTCCTCTCCAACTATCTTCTCCTCTATCCATCTTCTATCCGCCTCCCCCTCTCTCCCCATTTATTTCAGAACCCCCTTCCCCTCCCCCATTTCTGAAGAAGGGTCTAGGCCCGAAACATCAGCCTTCCTGCTACTCTGATGCTGCTTGGCCTGCTGTGTTCATCCAGCTCTACACCTTGTTATCTCAGCGGAGCAGGAAGGCTGACATTTCGGGCCTAGACCCTTCATGAACCTTTCCTTTCTTAGGTGCTTTTGTAAAAGGTCAGTTTTAAATTAGGTGCCACAATGGCTTTCAGGATGAAGGGATGAGAAGCACAACATACAAGTTCCTTAATCACTCCACATGCATGTTAAGTGGTAGAAATGTCATGAGGCAAATAGACAAACATCACCATTCAGACAATCATTAGCATTACAGACGTCAGTTTTCAGCCAATTCAATTCACTCCACATGATACCATGAAACAGCTGAAGGCACTGCAAATGCAAAGGCTATGAGCCTGACAACATTCTAGTAACCATACCGAAGACTGCAGCTGTAGAACTAGCTGCACCACAACAATAAAGCAGTACAAATCTAATCTGGCCAATTATCACTCCATTGGTCTACTCTCAATCATCAGCAAAATGATAAAAGAGATGTTGTTGACAATGCTGTCAAGCAGCACTTACTCAACAATAACCTGCTCACTGATGCTCAGTTGGCTTCTGCCAGACCCATTCAGAGTTGAACTCAAGAGACTGAATCAAGCTGCTCTTGATTTGAAGGCAGCATTTCACCGTGTGTACCATCAAGGAGGTCTAATGAAACTGGAATCAAGGGTAGCCCAGGAAAAAAATACTCTTCACTGAATGAAGTCATACCTAGCACAAAGGAAGATGGTTATAGTTGTCGGAAGTCAATCATCTCAGCCACAAGACATCATTACAAACTACGATACTAGGCAAGATCAAATCATTTTGAGCTCATTCATTAATAACATTTCGTCCATCATACGGTCAGAGACACAGATGCTTGATAACGATTGCTGAAGGTTTAACACCATTTGTGACTGCTCAGATAATGAGGCAGTTCATATCCAATTAAGTAAGACCTTGACAACAATGTGGCTTGGCTGATACGTGGCAAGTAACATTTATGCCACATGAGTGCTAGGCAATGACCATTTCCAAAGACGAAGAATGCAACCATTACTGTTTAACTTGAAATGGCACTCCCATCAATGAATTCCTCACGAATTGAACTGGAAAGCAAGTTGATCTTTGCGATTTTAGCAGCTCCCCCACACCTTTTGCAAAGCTGTATTCAGGGAAA